ACTAAATTGTAACATCATGTTTATAAAACTATTATCTACATTTTAAAATGCAAGTAAAATAATTGAGTTGTGTCTACGAAATGGCTTTGTCGTTGATTTATTGAATTAAATGCCGTAAAACATTTTTTAATGAATTCCAAACCGTTTAAATTAATTGGATTTCTTATATGTACAAGAAACGTCTTGTGTCATCGTTTAAAAAATAATATGATTTGGAATCCCCACTCCATTCTCCATTAACCAAAAAAAAAAAACTGGTCAAGGAACAGAAAAAAAAATATTTGACGAAGAATCACAGCGAGAGGTATTGCACTGTTGTTGGAGATTGGTGGTGGCAAGGAGAATGACAAATAACCGCAGGTGAGGAGGAGTGACCTACCTATTGTTTGACTCACGTATCAGGGATAGTTAGCCAAACAATGGCCGCACCAAAAATGGCAAGAGACCCGCAGGCACCTATAAATGAATATACAGTACAGCGAAAACGGTAGTGAGGAAGGGTGAAATCGCATCGTTGAGTATGTCGATAAATGCTTCCTCTATAATTTTAGGTAATAGCTTGTGTACTTAAACATGGTGAGATTTTCAGTATTAATAATTGATTTTTTAAATATTACCTTTACATTAAACGCAAGGAGATCCATTCAACGTGTAATACATTCATTTTGTCAGGCAAACGTAGTGATTTATTGTAAGAATTAGAAAATTAAATTTAGTACTAAATAAAAATAAAACAGTTTTAAAACAAATTAGACCATTTTTGCCCTATATATGAATTGGTGAAAAAAAATATATTTTAATCATTGTTTGATTAGGTACATATATAACATCATTGATTTAAATTAAGAAAGAATGTTGTTAAAAATATATAGTATATTACGTAAATTATAAAAAATATAAATAAATGTTTTCAATTAGTTTGTAAAAGTTTTTTGTTTTCATGTTTTTCTTTATAATACTTTGATCATATAAATTTAATATATATTTTCATGAACGAATGCGATAACAGGTGTAGCTTTTATAGTGGGTCAATGGACAATATGGTGATGTTTAATCAGGCGGAAAGGAGAAAAAGAGTTGTACCTTTTTAGACTTTTACACCCGATAAACAATATTTGATTTTATGTATTCAAATGTTTTGAATAATAAATATTTTCTATATGGAAACACAGAGACTATTTTATAACCAGTATTTATATTTAAATCTATTTATATCTTTAGTAATATATTATGTATTTTATCCATTATCAAAATATTTCATCTTGGATTTAAATACAAGATTCACACACACCTGTATGTATAGTCATTTTTGTGCCATATAAGACAGTTTAATATGTCGTATGTGACACGTAGATAAACTATGCATACGGACAATAATGTATTCATTTTGATAAAATACCGTAAATATAATATAATATAATATTATTATTATGTCATGCACACATATGTTATAATATTTGAATTGCATTAAAACATGATATGCTATGAATATACCATTAGGATAAAATGTATATTATATTGATTGCAAACTCTGACAAAGATACTAAATATTCTATATTATAATAACAATAATATTTATTAAGTTTAAAATAATATTAAGTAATATTATACATTTAAATATTCTACACATTCGTGTATCACAATTGCCTATACAACGCACCGTCTTATCGAATAAATTAAATGTTAGATTTTTATAGTAAATTATAATTGGTTATTATAATATATATGGCCAGCAATGAAAAAAAAGCTTTTGCAGCTTTTTGTGATGAGAAGTGTGTCTATATCAACGATTAAACGATTCACGGAGCACAGATTTTTTGTGCTTCAGGCGGCCGTACACATATAATATTATTAGCTACATTCGTCGATATGTCAGTTAGTGTTACCTACATGTTTTTTTTTTTTTTTGGAGCCCATTTAATGTGTTCACCGGGACCTATATTTTTATCGTGCCACAATGTAGCATCGATTGTCAAAACGATAACGCACCACCGTACATTGGCTATTAATTGCTGATTCAGATAAATACTAAGTAAGTACCTTATTTTAGGGATGTACCTATATCAAAATTAATATTTTTTTTACCAACTCACATAGGTAGGTAAATTTTTTGTGCACCACCTTATGTGAACCTCACTAGCCATCACTGGATAATGTTATTATTAACATCGTCGTGTTATATATTATTATGTAGACTATTCAAATAACTCATATTAATCATGTAAGTATTTAATTGATGCGGATTTACAAATGTTATCAACATTTTTTCACGTTGTTAGTAGGTTTCTATGTACAAAATGTGTTCAGTGTATACTGTGCAGTGTATTATAATATTATGTGTGAACATTTAAATTAGTTAAGTAGAAATTAACAGTATTTTTAAATAATATATCTTATTATAAACACTGCATAAAGTGTACATTAATTAAGTACGCTCATATGAAATGTGACGGCTTTTATATCATAGTAAAATCAGTTTCCAATTTCAAAATTTACTCATAAAAATACAACATAGAATTTCGTTAAATTTTTAAACCGTATATGAAATATTATTATTTGTTGACAAAACAATCAACAACAAAAATCCACTCAGACACCGAAATACGAATAATTTACAACCGGCGTATTTGAGAAAAGTTGACTCGGTCTAACACAGGAACTTTATTCTTTTAACTCGAAGTACAGATGATTCCCGAATGATTTCCCTGTGGTAAAATAGTAACTTTAGTCATTTTATCTCTAACATAAAAATAAATAAAATTTTACAATTGAATATTTTTGGCTGGGAAATTGTTGTTATTTTATTAACTTGTTCTAAGTATAATCGATTGGAAAAATATGATGTAAAGTAACAACATTTTTTTTTTTTCAATAGTTAATTGTTTATTCTCATTTTGCTGTAATAGTAAATAGATACCAGTGCTGAATAATATTTCTAATTGTTCATCAATTTACAACTACACTTATAGTTGAACTTTTTTTTATTGATGAGTATAGTAGGTACTTACCTATATTTATAACTAGCACAGAATGATTTTTAAAATACAAAATTCGTTTTGAAAGTATATTTTAAAATCGTTAGATCGAAATAGATAATATAAACGAAACGTCTCAACAAGATAAAAAAATGTCGTCGATCACTATGGGATGATATCGTCACTGAAAGCGTTATTCAAAACTTGAATGCGCGTTTAACCAGCACGTAATGTCGCAGCCGCAAGCAATGGTTATAACCATATTATTATCATCCAGCGGCCGGACGTCCGTTTTGGTGCAATAATGGGGGGACGAGTCTAATATTATAATTTGTAGTGCACAACTTACCCATTGGCTAACTAACTAACTGAATACATAATATTATTATGCCATGGTCTTTATTAAATTGAAAAGAACCACATGTTAAGACTTGCAGGAAATTGCTTCATCGAGGCACATCGAGGATCTCCCATTCTTTTCATCTAGTTTTCGTTGTCATTTTTCAGCAGCTTCCGTTTCTTTTACTCTTTGTTCTACTTATTCTTCTTCTTTTGGACACAATTACACGTTGATGTATTTTTGTATCCGGTGTGAACAATTAATTTTCTCATGCCCAACACCCGCTTTACTATTTATGTGTATAGGCACTCTTAAGTCTTTATACACAATCTATATATATATATATATATGTATATATATCATATTATAATACCATATGAATATACGATACACATATTATCTATATAATAAGAATCTAACTTGATTTTGGAGACGAAGGAAACCGGTTTTGAGAGTCTATTACCTAAGCGCTTCCTCTCATAATAATAATAATAATTATATGTATAATTAGATTACCTAATTACCAATTAAAAAATATATTCACCAATAACTGTTTCTTTTTTTTTCTTTTTTTTCTTTACTTTATAATTGACCTATAATAATGTTTCTAATACGCAAGCGCATTCCTTTATTTATTCGATCGATGAGATCGACATCTCCAACTCCAAACCTTCAGTCGATTGTTGTACAGCGTTACTAACAGATCTAATTTTTTTTTCAAGTGTGATTTAAATATATTATTAATTCAATAATAATAATTATTATAATAATAATAATATTCATTATTATGAGTAATAAAAGGTGCATCGTTTTCCATTGTGAAAATCGTTCAAATTGCATTCAGGCAATTTCATCGTATGCAATTCCAAATGGAGGAGAGAGGTATTTAATAACAGCTAATACTTAATAATTGTAATTAATAATTCTATAATGTGTACTCACCTAATGATTTAAATACTTATAGGTTAATACAATGGCTTAATAGTTGCAACAGGACCGATTTATTGGAACGTGAAAACCATATTCGTACGAATAATAAAAACTTTAGAGTGTGTAATTGTCACTTTGAAACCAATATGTTTTTTAATACACAGCGTAAGAGGTTAAGACCAAATGCTGAACCCACATTATTTGGTATGTGGTATATATACATTATTAAATAATATATCTGTTTATTATACTTCGCCTATGTTTCACTACTATTTTTTATTATAAATGCATATACTTTATAGGTGTTATACCGTTCAAGTGGGTTAAATTCCGGTCTGCCTATTTATACCAACCTAAGCATCCATATTATGACGACGATGATGTTTGTATCGGTGTAATGGATTTAATTTGTTAATATTGCAATGCAATGAAATTCAAAGGTAGTTTATTAGTGTATACATTTTTAGAATTTCGAAAACGTTTTATATTATTTTCTTAATTAAAGGAGAATCTGCTGGTATATGTTGTTCAAATGGAACTGTTCGTATTCCTAATATTGATGAACCACCAGAATCAATGGAAACTCTTTTGGAAAGTTCAACAAGTATTTCAGAATACTTTTTAGAAAATATTAATAAATATAACAATGCATTTCATATGACCTCATTTGGAGTGGTAGAAACTATTGTCGAAAATGATATGCCTACATTTAAAATAAGAGGTCAAGTGTCAAGTATCATTTAGCCGGGTCGTTGATGCCTTTACCAAATACAAATCATAAATATTTACAAGTTTATTTTATGGATGACGAAGAGGAACAAATTTATGCACGAATGGGTATTTGCAGTGAATTGAATAAAGGTAATTGTATTGTATAATATATTTGTTGTTTAAAACGTTTTAATTTATATATTTATACATTTAGATATTATAAGAGATTTGCAATTATTGTTACATAATATCAATCCTTACGAAGTTCAAAACTGCATTGGATCAATGGATATGCCCACTGATCAATACCGATTAGTCATAAATGCAAATATGGTTCTTTAAGGTCAACATAGAGGTAGATTTAATGCATCATCTCAAGTAGAAGTGGCAGTAGTAATGATTGGAGAAGAATATGGAAATCGCAATATAATTTTATCTAGAAAAGACGAAAAGTTACAACGAATAAGTGAAACTCATAGGTAAATTCCTTTTAAAGTGTATACACTGTACATTTTTTCTTAATTTTTATTTATGTGTTTTTTGGTCTTATGATTCTCTAGAATATCCACTGATATTTCTACACGGTGAAGATGGTTATGCTATTGATATTTTGTCAATTAATGTTAATTTAAATGAATACAATAGTCATAAAACTGTTTCTTCAAAACAGTTTTATGCTAATAGACTGATGGTGAGGCACCTAATCATATCTACAATCATTTACATAATTATAGAAAACTTATTAATAAATATTGGGTAAGTAAACAATATTTTTTCAACTTAATCAAAAACGTCGCACGTATAAACATTATAATAATACAAAAAGAATGTAATTTTTTTTAAAGGTTGATATGTATCCCAAAATAGAATCAGAACGGCTTTTATTTATACGGAATAATCAATCAAAATTAATAATTATATTCATTTACGTGATGCTATAGAAAATGATGGTCACGTGAATGACTTGGACAACTTTTTATTTTACCTTCTTCATTTACAGGAGGTCTAAGGTAATAAAATATTTTGTATTTTATAACTTAAAATTGCTACGAAAAATTAACTGTAATATTCATTTTAACAATCTAAAATATTGTAGGTACATACTATTAATTATTAAATACATGCACGAAAAAACTATGGATGCCATGACTTACGTTCGTAATTTTGGGACTCCAAATTTGTTCATTACATTTACATGTAATCCAAATTGGATGGAAATAAAAAGAGAACTCAAACATGGTCAAACTACACAAGACAGACACGACATTATCGCTAGAGTTTTTCATCAAAAAATTAAAGTTCTAATGAACTTAATTGTGAAACATCGGATATTTGGTGAAACTCAGTGTTATATGTATACTGTTGAGTGGCAAAAATGTGGTAATAAATGAATAGTATTATTTATTTATTTATTTAAGGTCTTCCTCATGTTCATTTACTGGTATGGTTAGTTGATAAAATTTGACCAAATGATGTCGATGATGTAATAAGTGCTGAATTACCAAACCCCGATATAGATCCTGAACTATTTGAAATAGTTAAAAAACACATGGTGCATGGCCCATGTGGTTATATGAATCCAAATTCTCCATGTATGGGAGAAAACCAAAAATGTTCAAAGAGGTAATAATACATTTTAATATTCAATATACATATTTAAATCTATTTCATATTAATATAACTATTATAAATTTATATGAATATTTAGTATATTTATAAAATTTCATCATTTGTACTTATATTTTGTATTTGTTTAAGTGTAGGTATTTAGTTATTTTTTAGTGCAAAAGCGCATAGTATTTATTAAACTATTTTAGCAATAATGCAGTTTAAACTTTAAACTTCCTCATATACCTATACTATGCAATTTTTTTAATTATTGTCTTTTTTTTTAAATATTAACGATGGTACCTAAAGTTAAATTTTATTGATAGGACTTTCCGTGTAAGTTATGAGTAAAAACTTAATTTTCAAGTTATAAGGTAGATATATTCAAGTGCCATATGTAGTTACCTACTTAAGGTGGTTTTGCGTAATAAATCGTAATTAGTTTAAGATTAACATTATTTTGCATTTTGCTAGTATGCTAAGAAAAGCATATTTAATAAAAAAATTTCATTTGTTCTATTAGGTATCCGAAAGCATTTACTAACATGTTAGTACATGCAGTACTATTACTGAAGATGATGGATATCCTTTATACAGACGAAGGGATTTTGGAAGTGGTGGATTTAAATCAACTGTATTACGAAATTCAACATTGGTAGAAATTGATAACAGATTTATTGTTCCATACAATCCATTACCATTGAAAACATTCAATGCTCATATTAATGTTGAATGCTGTCATTCAGTAAAATCAATTAAATACATTTGTAAATATATTAATAAAGGGTCTGATCAAGCCTTAAGAATTTTTCAACAATCTTACTAGAATTTTATGAATTGAAATATGAATATGAAAAATTCAGTAATTTTAATTGAAACTTTGACTGGTTGCCATTTGGTCAGTTTTGATTTTAGAGCTATAGTAAAAATGACCAAATCGACTTAAAAAAATTCGGTCTATCCGAATTTGGTATTCAAAACACCTGTAGCCATTTAAAAAAATGCAAGTTGTATTGCGCATGCGCACACGGAAAGATCTAAAAATGTAAAAATCATCAAGAAATGTGTATTTATGTATTCCCTATCCCCTCCCGAAAACCGCATATTAATCCGATGTTACTGGACAGAATTATTTAGTGTTACCTTTAAAAGGAATCACACTGTATTTGTTATTGTTATTATGATTATTAACTATTTATTGATTTGTTTGCACTTGCATTTTTCCATTTGAAATATATATATTATACATTGAACAAATAATTTATTGTTACATTTTTTCTACCTTATCTCTATTCTATAATAAAAAGAATAAAATTTACCACTCCAGTGGTTGAATTCTAAATGTAGGAAATATAATTTTCAGAAATTAGCAATAACAATAACTACAATATGTAATTATATTGTATTATTTCATTTATTTGTATAGCCAAAAAATAGTCTTATGTTTTTAAATTAAATTATAAAAAAATAATTTCTTCCGGAGGAAGATCGGGCAGCTAGTATAAACATAAATTAGTAACAAAACAAAAGAAATTCAAAATTGTATTTATTTCCTGGGTCGTATGCAATGGTATTTTAACAAGTATTAAATATAATACAACGTTTTTAATCAAATTATGACATGCAAGTACAGAGCCCAGGCCCCCAGACATATTATTTATCCAATTTTCATAGGGAAATTTACATTAACATTGATCTAATAATTGACTGTTTTGGAAAATGTGACAATATAAAAAGACGTTTGGATTTTGTTATTTAATACATATTCATTAATTGATTTATTACATTAAGATTATACTAATATTGGGAAAAAATGATTGCCCCCCCCCCAGTTCTTTTCTCTGGATCCGTGCCTGTGCAGGTGATAGTTGTTCAATATTTTTTTTTTAGAAATAAAATAATTTTATAGTCATAGTATCATGTCTAAAGTATCGTCACAAAAACATAATTAGTAAATAATATACTAGGTATATTATAATATTATAATAACCATATTAGGTACCTACCTACATATTAACTTGTATATACATACCTACTCAATAATATATTTTAAATTAATAATCACTATTCCGGTACAATATTATTACCACCTAGTTTATATTTATTAGATATTGAATTATTTAAATTTTATAATTACATTATACATACTATATATATTAGTTACGGTTTATTAATATGCAAATGTATACAAAATAACTTAAATCAATAATAACATAAAGTTTTAACCCCATAAAAATAAGTGGGAACCATATTATTATAAAATACACCATGTGATTTCCTACACTGTTTTTTTTTTTGACAAATATACGTTGATTGGATCATATATTTTTGTATGACTGTCACAACGACTTTTTTACAACTAAAGGACATCATAATGTATTTCATGATAACTAATAACTACCCTCTTTGTGTACAACTAAACCACTCAAATCGATGTATTCAGAATTAATATAATATATGGCTCATGACATGTGTATTATTATAATATCATTAATATATTTACATAAGAAATATAATTTCTCAATTAATGAAAATGGATTATAAAATATAAAAAGCCACCATAGTATAACAAATAAATAAACAGAGTTATAGAATGAAATAATAACAACAATAATTTAACAATATAAAATAATAATAAAAAAACTCAATTAAATCAAGTATAATAATGAGGTCTATAAAAATTTAATAAAATTCAACAAAAGTAGAACATCTTGTGGAAAATAATGTCTTATTAATAATTTGAATTTAGGAAAGCACTTAGTACTATGAATTATAAAAGTGATGATCGATTCACAGAGTAAAATTTGACTGATTTTATTTTTCATCAAACAATTAGATTACATAACTAATAATGTATATTAGAATTTAGAAATACTTAAAAATAATCTCTTAATCTCAGATTAAGAACATTTCGTAAGGGTTAGTATTTTTTTTTTAAAGCGTTAGGACTTGACTTGTAAGTTTGGTTTTTTACACTTCAGGGTTGAAAGTTGATCCCATAACATGGTAAACCTTCTTTTGGCATTATATTTCAGGTTCTAACAGTTCGGCCCTCCTCTAATCATTAGCGATGCAAGTAGGCTATTGTTGGAAAATTTTCCCACAGCTAAAATGTTGTGGTGAGTAGATACCTAGCTGGTACTAACAATTATTGGGTATTCAAGTATTTTGTATTTATATACAATATAGTATATACAGTATATAAGTACTGTAATTTATTATAGTTCAGAATATAATTTAGATAGTACTTAATATTAATTTATTAGTACAGATAACGTTATTTTATCAATACAAACAATATTATCGATATCGATGTAAGTTTAGTTAGTTGGTATCAAGACTCACTGTTTACTTCAGAAGGATCAAAATAACTAAGAAGTTGAGAATAATTAGACTAATTCAGCTTCTATAAACTTACTCTCAAATGTATCATGATTAAAATATTGCACTGTGATCACGTCAATTTCTGTTTTAACCTTTGTTACATATATTATTTTTGGAGTTTTTTTTGGAAAGTAAAAATGTTCAACAGAATTAATTTTTTATCAAATCATGTTATATTGTATGGTAAGTAACAGTATTGGGTGATTAGAATATGTGGATGGTGTAACTGAAATTTTTTTGTCTCACTGGCAAGAGAGTTTGAGACGCAACACTGTAAAACATAAAACCCGCCTGAAAGTCTTTAGATTTGAGTGACGTGAATTATCAATTTTTTGACATTAAAATATTGA